GATTGAATAAGCCAAAACTCTGTGTTCAAGCCTTGTTCCTCAACTGCATGTAGCGTTCTAGATTGGTCAAGATTTTTTGCTCTGTCATTCTAACTAACTAAGTCAACTAATTTAATTCAACTCACAATCGTTGCATGAATTTGATGAACTAAGTTATTTCGCCTAATAAGTTCTGTAGAGTGCTTTAGATTACAAAGCTTGTTCCTTGGTGAGTTTTTAGCCTTAAATGTCGCATTAATCCCAGGTGTGCTGCAAATCCTGCGCAGACTTTCTGACATACCTCCACTGTTTTTGAACATTGTGGAAGTTTTCAAATCTCGTTTCTTTGTGTAACCATTATTAGTCTGCATTTCATTTGTTGCTGTGTCAAACAGTTTCTCAAACAATTCCGTATTACAGTAGTAGGACGATTATTGGTAGTAAGGTTTTGTTTACCTGTATGATTTCCTGTCGTGGATTTTCTGTTTGACTGCTCAGAAATTTGTATTTGGCAGATTAATTTGATGTATCACACAGTGGAACAGTATTATTCTACTGGATTACTTTTCGGACACTGTTTATTGCCCATAGTTATGTTGAGATAACTCCACAACTTTGAGATATAGTTTACACAGTCCTAATTTTCTCAGTTTCTTCCGTATTTCGGGGACAAGTGTTGAGTCATTCCTGTTACATGTATTGGATGTTGATTCGATAAACAAGGATTGATAATCGGTCTTTTCCTCGACCCCGCTAGATTATTTTTTAAGAATTTTAACCCTGTGCGATACTATAGTGTGTTGTGTGTTACTGCATGCATAGCTACGGCCGAACTATTTATTATGATCTACCTATTCTGACATGGCTAGATTTCTGTGCTCGGATAGCCTAATTGACCCTGGTTGACCATTTTGATCTGTGTATTTGACCTCGTAATCGTTGCAAGCGATTAAGTAAACTAAGTTATACTGCGATGTCATTTATACAGGCCAAAGTAGTCGACCAGGGTCAATTAGGCTATTGGTTCAGAAATGTCTAGCTAGATCAGAATTGGTAGAACCTTAGAAGGTAAAGAATCTAGAGAAAAGCTAGGCCAGAGCTACACACGCAATAACACATAACTACACTAATGGTTGGCACAGAGGTGGAGGGAGTGATTGATAACAGAATTTTCGTTTATCAAGTCCAACAACTAATGCATGCAACAGGAATGAATAAACACCTTCTTTCGATGTATGGATAATCCTATCACACATATCACAAAGGAGACGAGAAAATTAGAACTATGTAAGCCAGATTTCAAAGTTGTGTAGTTATCTTGATATGACCATGGGAAATAAATAGTGCCCGAAACGTAACCCAGTAAATAATATTGTTTCGCTGTCTGATACATCTAATAAATCAACTAAAATGAAATCTCATTCTACCACAGTGTCCATGGTTTACTCTTGTATGGCTCAAACACTTCTCTCTCTTAATTAAACATTTCACTGAGCCTATCTAACTGAAATAGATTGAAATGGTCTGAAGTGTGAGTATTAGTTGGAATGCGTACCGTTTCTGCGAACACTAGTATCCAAGTACGCATTTTTAATCTGCAATCCAGAGTAGCTAGTTCTCCCTGTTCATAAGTAAGCTCGACTGCATCTACAACTGAATTAATTCGCCTCCAAAATCTAGCGATATTTCTGACTTCAACATCGTAATTGAGTCGTCTATGTTTCTTCATCATATATAGAGAGTAGGGGAATATGTCTCAAGAACCATTAGTTCTCAGCTATTCATAAATACGCCTACACTATTGGGGTTTTTGTGATACTATAGCAATTCCTTCCATTCCTTTGTTAGTTTTTCTTTGAAATTTCAAAACTGTAGGATTCAGGCATCATTGTACTCCAAGTTTGATTTTTCTGTTGATAACTTGACTCTGATTGTGAGTTCCTGATCAGATCTGAACTTGTTCTTAAGAACCTGTAAAGAGATATTAATTGGGACATTAGTGCAGAGACCGGCTACATCATAGTTAACCATTTCTTCATCATCTAACTGCAAGTAATCTAGTTATTTTCTAAATTCATAAGAGTTATTCAGTGTAATTTTCTGCTGATTTTCAATTGGACCTATCATCATCTCTAATTATTTAGATAATTCGTTAATCAGATTGTTTATGTAGTCTACCTTAGATCTTACAGGAGAAACTAATTTATGTATCTAAATAATGCCATAGATCCCACTAGGATTATTGATTTTAGGCACTGAATAAAAAATTTAGACTCCCATAAGAATAGCACCATCCGAAGACAAGTTAATTTACATCTGGTTATTCCGCGGGACCTGATTACTAATTTCGTGTACATGATACAACCTTTCCTACCCCTTACTGTCAAATGGTGAACTGTTACAGATGTGCACCGAATTCGGTAACATGTCGAACAGGAAACCAATTTACAAATATTATGTTCATGACTACTTACGATATCGACCGAGATAGCCTCACATATCCTCGAAAAATAGCTGAACAATTAGAAAATAAGTCAAAAGAAAGCCAGTGTTTGACGGCATAATTCATAAATAAGAATTATTTGATAAGGTAAGGTAATTACTAATACCAATACTCACATTCCAATGAAGCTAATGAGCTATTAACGACTTTGTTGGTTTTTGAGGTCGGAAAGTCTTCTGATGTCTCAGTATGAAATCGGATGTTTTTTTTTATTTCACAAAGTCTACATATCGAAAGAATGATCATGAACATTTTATCTGAATGATGTTCAACAATGTGTCACTGTTCACTTGTGACTGTGATGAATATCTCGATTGTTACACAAGATCTTTGACATTCTACATCAGGTTGAGTGAACTGAACAAGCTTTGGTATTGTATCGATTGATGTTGGACCGAACGAGGACGAAGTCGAAACCCATGTGGTTGTAGATGTACAGGCATGTTGTGTATTGCAGAAAGTTGGGAAAAAGGTGTGATGAAATGACTGCAGAAGTAATTGTTCACAAAGTATATGTTGCATTCAGGTGATCTGGATTAAATGTGCATAGATTTATATCTTTCTTTGACTGAAAATGCGGTTGTAACATGAGAGTTGCCTATTGTTAATTGAATGAGAGTGAAACTTGGCTGGATATATGTGTTTGGGACGAGGACTGAACCTCTTAAATTTGTATTCAGTAGCCTTGGCGGTAGTAGTCAGTTGATTCAGGCACGAGATTTGTCAAAATGACCATGCTGCTTCTGGAGAATTTGTAAAGTTAGAAAAGTGAAGGATGTTTACGAATAAACTAGGCGGAACTGGTATGATTCATTGTTCTATTTATCTTTCCTAATCAATAACAGACATTTCAGGAGGGTGGCAAGAAGTATGAAAGTTAAGTGAAGTTGACCATTCTTCCTACTTTCTATCAGACACAAATCATGAGGAACAAATTCAGAAATTTTACTTTGATGTGCACCGCGGAGATTCAATAGCTGGGCAGTTGCTTAGTCAAAGATCAGATCATGGGTTCGCACAGCTGTGTCACCGTATATGGATCAAGGTATATCAAGCAGATAGGCAGTAATACATTGCTATACCTCTGTCTACAGCTATTCATACACCTGACAGTGTGAACAACATGCCTATTGGATACTCATCGAGAATATGAAAATCCGAGTGATGCGATGTTCCTTGAGGAAATCATCACAAAAGAGATTCCTAGCTCATCCAAGAGCTTTTTACGTGAGGATTGTGTTATTCTACGATGCTATATAGAGGGATTTCGAATAAATGTTTTACTGCTCAGTTGTTAGTGTAGCAATATTGGATGCTGCATAAGACAGTGAGGGAGTGAAAATCACAATCTGGTGACAGGGGTTTCACTTCTTACAACCCAGCTCAGAGAACGAAAAGGAACCAAGACTTCTTACGGTTCTGGCCGGAAGGTTGACACTGAGGCACTAATACTACAGAAATTAGAAGCAAGGGGTTCGCAAGTCATTTATATGTGAGTGTGCATGTGGAAGGTATTTACAAGGTAAAATTACACGGAACCTTCTGAGATCCTATTTTCCCTGCTGTTGAGTTGATGTAGTGCCATGCTAACGATTCGGAGGCCGTTGATTTGAATCCTGTTGTGAACTAGGCTTCCTTCGCACTGTTACTTGTAGATTTACATCCTCACACTATGAAGATAGTACTGTGAATCTGAAGAGGGTAGTACACTGCTGCATAACACAGTATCCCACTGAAAGTGAGAGTGTGAACCTGGTCACTCGTATCATCCTGTGCTTGCATTATTATTCAATTTATCGTGAATTTGGGCTAATCGGAGTTGTACTTTTATCTGTGGATAAGCTGATCTTGTTCAGTGACAATCTGAATGGTTTTCATTTTACAATCGACAATTTGAAAGTTGTGTTCGTCATAATGATAATCATACGAATTAAATGTAACTGAAAATCAGAACCCTTAAGATCATACGCAGGACAAACTATAAATCTATAATAGTTCTGGTTTCCTCTTTCGCTTAATTCTTTGCTCACTAGATTTGCCGACTGAATTGGCTCACATATTCAGCTAACTTCCGAATCCCACAAATGATCAAGTATCATATTGATATTGGTCAGAATTCGTGTGTGCAAATCACCAATCATCAATCGTTGAAAATATATTAGACTCTGTTGGTCAGAATATAAATACGCCAAGTGATAGTGTCACGCAAAAATGATAGCTTATTCTTTGCCATTTACAGTGACCATTATCATCTTTTTTGTGCGCACCTCGCAAGCAGGTAGATTACAGTTTTTTTAAACTTCAGTGTGCTTTCTGTTGATTACTACTGTATGTTGACTGCACTTTGTGGACTGTTGCTTTTATGCGTGCTTTCTACACGTTTTTGTCAAACAGAAATATCAACTACATACAGGTGAGACGAACACCACTGAATCATTTTGCTGCCTTACAGATAGACTGAGCATAAGATCAGGACGACAGTCAATATGGCCGTGTCACATTTATTTGGAAGGTGGCCGTTTCTCAAAGATATTTGTTTGTCGATCGTCTCAGTGGGTTGTGTACTGTGTTTGCCTCGGAAGCCAGCTAGCTGATAGAAAGTATCTCAATATAAATTAGGGTTTTGATTAAGGAAATAAAAATTTAACTGTGCAATACAGGATCTACCTAGGACTGTCGAAGCTTTAAGGTGGCTATTGCAAAGGCAAAGTTTGGACGTACCTTTTTTGGACACAGAGCTGATTTGTGATTCTGAATAGCAGTGCTTCAGGTATGCTCAAGTGCCTTGATCCCGCTCCCATTGAGTGACTTGACAGAACTCCGTAGAGGATTTCGAAAGGGTTCTCAAAATCAACTGAGTGGCTTGGGTTCCTAAGGTGTTTCGTTATGGAGCTGAAGATCCCTTTGTTATCCATGCTGTATAGTTTTAGAGCACATTTTACAGGCGGCCGATATACTCAGCTGCACATGGAAAATTAAGCTGACCCAATGGGTTAGATTAATTAATGAGATCTCCAGGTAAAGAAAGATAGACGGTGTGGCAACGGGTTCTTCACTAGAACCCCTCTTAACTGACTGCTTTGTGCCAGGCTTAGAAATCACTAACTTATCGACATTAATTAATCAGTTTTACATCTACAAAAAGTACATTAATCATACCATCGTAGATTTTAATGAAAATATAAATCTTGCAAACCTGCTTCATACTTTCAACAACGCTGACAACTAAATCAAACTCACTATGAAATATAAATCAAGTGTATTAATGGTTGCTGAACTATGCACTTCATGTAAGCAACGAGTTTTCTCTTCTCAATAGGAGTGCAATCAAAACCGATATAAAGCTTTTGTTACCATATGAAGTATTGAGTGAGCAAGCTGCGGGTGTCCTCTACTCCAATATGATCGAATTCTAACTCTGAAGAATTATGCAATCACGTTTTATTCAATTATGAAATTCTACTGTTAGAGTATTTTGTAGAATAGATCTACTCAAAACGACAGACTCAGTGATAACAAGTTGTGTAGTGAATAATAATTTTTGTAAAACTGACAGCTCATTCATCACAGTATAGATAACCTTTGATGTACTGTTATCTACATAATACGTGATTGCAACAATTTTCCAAACACTTTATTTATATTGAATACACTGTAAATTTGTAGCATTTTACAATGTGTAATTAACTGTGTTTACTTTTCAGTTGCGTCATTCGGAAATTCTACATATGTGAGGGTTAAAATTAAAGAATTTTCAAAATTGTCCAAGAAAGCGTTTGGTAAGATTGAATTTATTAAGTCATACTTGAGTATTTGTGGTAATCTTATCGTCTTTCTCACTTTATTTCTTATATTTTGTGAGTACATTGACTGATAACGTCCACAGTGTAAGCGGCATATGTTTGATTTATAAGGGTGGGGTGGGTGGTTTGCAGCACGTCACTCACAGAGGATGCATCATGCCACTTAGGGATTTCTCAGAACTATTAGAATTGTTCAAATACTATGAGATTCTGCGAATACGTCCAAAGACCGAATCTATATTTTGTCCTATTATTATTATTATTATTATTAGTCCCTTGGGTTCCTAGTGGAACATAGGGCTTCAGTAGCACGCCTCCAGTGACCTCTGTTCTCTGAGATCTTTTGAACCTGGTCCCACGACAGCCCAGAAGCTCTCATTTCCTCCTCGCACGACCTCCTCCATGTCACCCTCGGACGTCCAACCCGTCGCTTCCCATGGGGATTCCACTCGAGCAACTGGCCTGACGCGTGATGTCCTCAGTCGGCCTTCTCAGTGCATGGCCAATCCATCTCCACTTCTTCCTGCATATTTGTTGCGTGATAGGTTCTTGGTTGGTTCGCTCCCAGAGTTCCTTGTTGCTTATTCTTCTTATTCTGGCCATCTGATCTTCAGTATCGAGACAGCGTAAGCAGTTGTTGATGAATGTCTGTAGTTTATTGGAAATCCCTTTCGTGACGCGCCAAGTCTCTGAGCCATACAAGAGCACTGACTTGACGTTGGTGTTGAAAATCTGCATCTTGTTCCACATGCTGAGTGCAGAAGATCTCCACACTGGTTTCAGGCTAATGAACGCCTGTCTTGCTTTTCCGATTCTGACTTTGACGTCCTCGTCCGTCCCGCCTGTAGTTGAAACAGTGCTTCCTAGATAAGTGAAGGAGGTTACTTCCTTCAAGTTTCTCCCGTTGATGGTGATTGGAGTTTGTTGTTGTTGTTGGTGGTGGTGGTGCGGTATCTTCATCACCTCTGTCTTCTCTATATTCACTTGAATTCCCGTCTTCGATGCCATGCCTCTTCTGTCAACTTGTTAGTTTTCGCCTGTAGATCTTCAAGTTTGTGTGACATCAGACACAAGTCATCGGCGAAATCCAAGTCTTCTAGGTTATTTTCCGCAGTCCAGCGTATCACCCTCTTCTCACAGCTCCCACTGTTTGCTGCATGATCCAGTCCACCACAATCAAGAATATCATGGGGGATAGTAGGCAACCTTGTTTCACTCCTGTCTTCACTTCAAAGGCATCACTGAGCTTCCCATTGTGGATTACTTGGCATGTGGCATCTTCATATAGTTGTTGAATGAGGCTGATAAAGGTTTGCGGTATTCCGTAGTATTGAAGCAGTTTCCAAATTACCTCTCGGTCGACGCTGTCAAAGGCCTTCTCAAAGTCGATGAAGTTGAGGTGGAGAGGTGATTGCCATTCTATGCTCTGTTCTATGATGATACGAAGTGTTGCAATTTGGTCTGCACATGATTTGTACTTCCTGAAGCCTGCCTGTTCCGGTCGTAGTTTTGAATCCAGTGCATCCCTTAACCTCTCCAGGATGATGCGGCTTAATATTTTGCTTGCTCTGGGTGGACAGGAGAGTGATTCCGCTCCAGTTCTTGCAAACACTCAGGTCTCCCTTCTTCGGCAGTTTGACAAGGTAACCCTTCACCCAATCAATGGCCAGGTACCTTCTCTTCCTTCCACACCTTCTGCAATAGTGGTGTGGTATGAGCATGTCTGCTGCTGTTGTCTCTGTGTGTGTTTTCAGTGCTTCTGGCGGGAACCCATCTGGTCCTGCTGCTTTCCCGCATTTCAGTAGCTTTATGGCGTTCAGGACTTCCATTTTCGTTGGGGGATTAATGTTCACTTGTAGTTCAGCGGCTGCAGGTGGTATTTGTGGACGAAGTGCAGGTGGTGGTCGATTCAAGAGCTTCTTGAAGTGGTCGGCCCATCGTTTCCTCTGTTTCTCTTCTTTTGTAATTAAATTTCCTTCTTCATCTTTTATTGGTTTCATCTGTGTTGGTCTCTTCCCTGATAGCAACCTGGTTATTTGATACAATGTCGTCAGGTCTCTCTTACCTGCAGCCTGTTCTGCTTCACTTGCCAGTGTTTCGTAGAAGTGTCTTTTGTCTTTGCGTGCACTCTTCTTCTCTTCTTTGTCCAGTGTTTTATACATTGTGCTCAGTTCCTCTTGTCGTTGAGCATCCTTGCACTGGTTTATCTTCTGCTTCACCATCCTTCTCTCCTCTATCAGTTTCCAGGTATCCGTCGAGATCCATTCCTTGTCTTCTTTCTTCTTCCTTCCTAATACTGTTGTGCAGGTTTCTTTCCACATCTCTTTCAAAGACTTCCAGTGTTCTTCCACACAGGTTTCTTCAGGGATGTTGCTCGGTGTCTCCCATTTTGTCTTGATGGCTGCCTTGAAGATCTCCTTTGTAGTTTCATCCTTCAGTTTCCGAGTGTTGTACTTGGGTTGAGGTCTATCACCAGCTTCCTTGAAGGCTTTTAACTTGATTTCGAAGGTTCCTTGCACTAGGTAGTGGTCTGAACCTACATCTGCTCCTCTTCTTGACCTTGTGTTAAGTAGACTGCGTCTCCATTTTCTTGAGATTGAGATAAAGTCGATTTGATTTTTAGTGTGTCCATCTGGTGAAATCCATGTCGCTTTGTGGATATCCTTGTGCCTGAACACACTGCCTCCAATCACCAAATCGTTGAATGCGCAGAATTCTGCAAACAATTCTCCATTCTCATTCATTTCACCTAGCGCCTCTCGACCCATGTTTAGTTCTCTTCCTGTGTTGTCCCCTCCCAGTTTGGCATTCATGTCGCCCATCAGAATTTTGATATCGCCAACTGACGTCTTGTCCAGTGTTGATTGAAGTTGTCTGTAGAATTCCTCCTTTTTCTCTTGCTCTGCATTATTTGTAGGTGCATAACATTGTATGATTGTGACCTTTCTTCCTTTTGAGTTGAATCTTGCTGTCATGATCCTGGAGGAGATTGGTTCCCACTGCATGAGAGCCTTTGATGCTCTTGAGGACATCATGATAGCCACTCCCTCAGTGTGCTCGTGGTTGGCGTCTGGGTGACCGGAGTAGATTATTGATTCTCCAGTCGACAGTTTGGAGAGTCCACTCCCATTCCATCTGCTTTCGCAAATCCCAAGCACTTCGATGTGATACCTTCTCATCTCGTTTGCAATCTGGGCTGCCTTACTGGGTTCAAACATCGTGTGGACATTCCATGTCCCCACGTTTACTTTCGCTTTCATCGAGAGAAGACACATCGGCCAATTGGCTTCCCGAAGGCTTTCACCAACTGGCGTCATTTCGCCTCTCTGATTCCAGCGGGGAATAAGTTTGTTTTTATTTTTTATATTTTGTTTGTGCTTTGAAGTTTGTTTAGCGGTTAGATTTGTTTTACGGTGTAGGGCTGCTAGCCCTATGCCCAACCTTCCCTCTTTACCCGGTTTTAGGACCGGCTAGTAACTAGTAAACTAGTTAACCAGGCGAGGTTATATTTTGTCCTAATCATATATAAATAAAATGTTCTCGTGCCTCATTACTTTTGTAAATTTTTAGAATTGTCTGTGATAGACGACAAGAAAGTATTGGATTTCTATGAAAACATGGAATCCATTCGTGGTAAAAGAACTCACATGTTTCTAATATATATAGCATGAGTCATTTAAGCTTCTCTTTGTCATTTGATTTGTCTGAATTAATGTGATTATTGTGCTGCATGATACTTATTCCACTACTGCACACAACCAGGTAATTTGGAGTAGAGCACCAGAGGGAGGAAACGACTAGTGCACTACCTGCCAAAAGTCACTCATTTGAGAGTATTTGTTTCGTGTACCATGTCCTGCGATTAAATTTGACACCAATGTTAAGGTAGAAAAACAAACCTTTTAGCTTAACCCGCCTGATTTTATTTGTTTGTTATGAATACACTTTGTAAACAAGTTTTCATTTTGAGAAAAGCACCCTTCATCTTCTGAACTTTACAGTTCCTCCATTTCGATGTAAAGTACACAAAGCATGTTTAGAAACAATTTCACCTCATTATGCTTATCCTTTAGTGTTGGTACATCACCTACCCTCTACTTTTATTTCCCAGATGAAGTTGATGCACAGATGGGTGCTGAATGTGAAACAATTGATAAATGTAAGTAAGGATTGAATTCGAGTTAAAGACTGCTCATTTTAGTCTTGCGATGCCAAAAGAACAATTATGCAGATTATTACATTAGGAAAATGTATCAAGGTTAGTCAATTCTCACTCTATGCTTTAGTTATTATCTTAGCAGTTTGGTATAAGTGTCCATTGCATAACTCTGAATATAACCTACATATGTGTATGTAGAAAGGGAGAATTAATTCGTAACACTAATAAAACAAGTAGCTGTACTGATTTAGAAGTTAGAATGATGAAAGTTATCGTTTAGTGATATGGTTGTTTGATGTCTATGTATTCACATTATTATCATGCTGCATTTCGGAAATGAAAGACATGACAGAGGTGCAAGTGATAAGTTAACAATTTGAATACAGGATTGAAATTATTTTCGGTTCCAGTTACATCAGTTAACCGAAGCCAGTAGTATTAAAAAAAAAGGGCATTGGCCAGAATCAGTTGGTTGACAATCCAATGAAGAGAGGATAGAAGAAAGGAATTAGGAATGTTTACGCCAAATGAATAGCAAAATCAATGATCATCATGGCAGTTATGGAGACGGTGTTTCAAATTATTGTGGTGTTTATCTTGGCATGGATTTTTATCTTCTTTTTTCCACTATATCCTCTGATATTTTAAAATTTTATGACAATTGTGAATTAAGTGTGCTGAAAACATTCCGACTGGTTTAATTTCAGACATTGTGACTACAGTCGAACCAATGATTGGGCAGTTAGGTATGTAACCACTTTTCTGAACACATGCATTGCATTGAAAATATAGAAACTTATCACGATTTAAGTTTTAAGGTGTATTTCATCACATCCATATGCTCACATTCGGTTTCTATCAGGTCAGAACTACAGAGATGAATTGCTGTCTGAATACGACAAGTTATACCTTGGCAGTAAGATGAGTATTATTATTTGTTGAAATGAGTCTATTCTTAGGTGTACCTCTACCAATTTGTTTGAAAGACGTCTAGAAATGACTGATAATTTTATAGATATATAGTCGGTTACAAGGTTTTTGTAGAAACTGTGAATACAATGACAAGATGTTTATCATGTAATTCATTGTCTTTTGGCTAGATGCTTATTCTTTCAGTTAAGTTCTACACGTACAGAACCATATTATAAAAAGTCTTTTAAGAAGGCCACCTATCGCTTTACAAAGCTGCCTTTGATCACCACACCTCGATTCAGCAACAGCTACAGGAGATCTGAATTCATTTAATAACCAAGTAAACACTGAACAAAGGAAATGCTTGCATAACATTCATCCGTTACCGTTTCTAAGAGTAATAGCGTGATAGCAAAGTGTACAGGTTCCAGGCGACTATCAATTTATCAGGAAGAGGAGGAACTTAGGGTGTATTCGAAATACAATCCAATTTCCTCCTTCATTGCATCAGAGACAACTCAATGAGTAAATTCTAAGTTCGTATCTAAATTCAAAGGTGTCATTTACCAGAAAAACGCCAGTAAGTCTTCATGTTACGTTGAATTTCACTTGGCAGAAATAAGGATAGTAGAACCAAATAATATGGTCGTATTTGCGATTTTCAGAACAGTGGAGGTCAAATATTTCTTTGCATGAGTCACTGGAAGGTACTGAAACTACGTTTTCTTGTAGAGGGTACAACTGGTTCACAGAATCATGAGTGAAACAGAGATTCAAATGAAAACTTACAGAACAAGAGTTGTTAAACTTTAAGGTGGTTTTCCACCGTCGTCATTTCTGAAGAAAAGGATCAATTAGGCTAGATTTGCATGAAAGAAGCAATGGTAAATAATGTTACATATTCTCACAGTGACTGATAACTCAAAACGAACATGCGAAGTCCATCCGCTCACCCATTATAGGAGAGAATCAAATGCAATTTCACCACCACCATACCTTATTGATATTAGGTAGCAAGACAACTTACTAAAGCTCGATAAGGTCACAAAACACGGGTGAAAGGGGGGTAATCTATTCAAATTGGTATATTCTAGCCTAAACAGTGTCAAATTATTGTTTTCAACCTCTGTGATACAGTGGATCATTTGACATTAAAGTGAATCAGGAATGACATTTCCTCATCTATTATGGAATATATTTTTTTAAATTTCTATATACCTGATGAGTTTATCAAGGCATCCACTGCCATATACGTACTCTTTGAAATGGTAAAAATGGTAAAGCTTTGTAGCTCAAGATGAGGATAATGATGGTTCAGTGTTTTCTAAGCTTCGATATTTTGTCATGAACGTTTGATCACTAGGCTTAGTGACATCTTTAGCACTAACTTCACAAAGAAGTGAACCACATTCGAATATTACACGAATGCTTAGACCGTGCTTATACTGACCTCGAGTCTTGTCCAATTATAAGTTGGGGAGGAAATTTTTTATCACACCCTGATCTCTTCGACCTTAAATTCCCTTCGGTGACATCATTAGGTTTTCTTTGTTGGAGTGAAATCGTGCTGTTTATTGTTATCACTCTGTGCATTACTGTTGATTAGTTTGGTAATTTTGCTCTGGGTTAAGGGATCACTGTTTTTTTTCTAGGTAGATTGTAGATTGGGTCTGTACACACTTGTCTGTTGATTGACCTGTTTTTGAACTGCCATACTCCTAGAAGTTCTCTTGCAGCTTTGGAACTCACTCTTTAGAGGGTTTCTACATTCTCTCAGTTGAATTTGTGATTGTGATTTTCTGCGTGCATTGAAACCAAGGAGGCTGCGTCATGTCACTTTACTGCTAGTTGGTGTTCATGAATTCTTTGAGCAGTTCGAAGGTAAGACTGGCCAAAATAATTCTGTGAACAACTTTTGCAACTGACTTGTAAACCATAGTTATCCCGTCTTCTTTTGGCAATAGATCCTTTGGTTTAGACAACATGCCGTATAGTGATTACGTTGGTTTGTGTGCTACTCTAATTCCGAAAGGACGAAGCAAATGGTTGACTATTTTTGAGATGTAAGGTAGTGTAACGTACCAATTGATTTGAAGCAGTTGTCCTGTCTGTTAAACACTTTTTGGTAAAGTTGTATGGATAATCATTGATTTTGAATACCTTGTACAGGTTCTTCGGCTTTCTGTAGTGCTTTAGTGCTGCAATGTATTTCGGCCCTTTAGAATAATGTTTTTACACAACATTTCTTATAGACTGTAGGATGATTGATGTTGCAGTTCGGTATTTGATCTGTGTGTGTGTGTGTGTGCGTGTGGTTTTCCTGTACACTTCAGTGTGTAATGTGCCGTTGTGTGTCCTGCTGATGAGAACATCTACGAATGAAGTATTTTTATCGGATTTCTCCTCCTTTGTGAAACGAATCCCTTCAAGAATTTTTTGAGTAGTTTGAAAGTACTTTCTATTTTATCTTCCTTGAGAACTACGAATGTGTCGTAAAAGTATCAAATCTAAATTTTTGGCTTGATGAGAGGGATGAATATTGATTGCAGTCACTGCATGACAGCTTCAGCAAGCAATCCTCATATCTGCGGTCTCATACGTGCCCCTTTTGTTAGTTTGAAAATCTTCCAACTGCATTACAAAGAGGTTATGAGGCATATCTCAATCATCCCCACTAGGTTTTGGAAGCGTGATCTTCGTACAATCAGAAAGGGTTTTTTCGTTCTTCAGAAGAATATTCATCGTCTTTTTGGCTAAATTCGAGTCTACTGAAGTGAACACTGAAGTCAGATCCAGGGATATCATCCGCTCATCACCTCTTATCCTTGAATCTTTTGTTTTGTCTGAAAGTTCAGTTGCCAAGCTGACTGTTTTGAAATAGTGGAGAATATTTTTAGCTCAGGTGGATGGTCTTAGTTGTATTGTGTTCTCTGAGCTGAGTTGTTTAATCGTGAAGCTTTTGTCATCTTTCTAGACGACATCATCAGCACTAACTTCAATATGAAGTGAGCTGTCAATATTGGCTATTAAACGTCACGACATTTCATCACTCATTTCAATGCACGTGGATAATTATGAACATGAATTCAATTTCGACAATGTAGAAATTCTGGACATAGGAAACACAAAGAATATCAGAGAATTCCTAGAAGCTTGACATTCAGGTCAGTCAGCAATCAACAGATGTATAGACATAGACCCAATCTATCAACCAATAGGAAAATGATCAACGACAGAAAGGTCAGAGGTCAAGCAATGGGACAGCCAACAGGAAAATCTATAGGTCAATGACACAAAAATCAGACTAAACAACCAATCACAGACCACTTCGTCATGGCAAGCTACTAAATCACTTTCGGAGAGATATTGACAGCTCACTTCATACTGAAGTTAGTGCTGATGATGTCGTCTAGAAAGATGATGAAAGCTTCACGATTAAACAACCCAGCTCAGAGAACATAATCCAGCCATGACTGAGTGTTTGCTCCCATTGACGAGATGCTTAATTTTCTGTTTAACTCTTTCGATAAGTGAATGAAAGTGTTCCAAGTAATTAAACTGTCGATCGTAGTGGAATATCTGTTTTATGTATCTGCGTTCACCTGTAGAACCTCAGTAAGACTGGTCCGTTTGTCTTCATCCGCCATTGTTCTTCTTCTGTGATTTGTCTGGCTTTTACTAAACTCCTTAGTTTCCTTTGGCTCTGATAATTTAACTGTTTTATTGGGTTGTGGTCTAGTGGTCGGTACACACTTTTGTCGTTTAGTAAATGCTTTGCCTTTTTGTCATAGTCCGCTTTGCTCATGACGACTGTTTCTCTTCTTTATCCGAAGGTATTATCATTGTTATTATTATTATTAGTCCCTTGGGTTCCTAGTGGAACATAGGGCTTCAGTAGCACGCCTCCAGTGACCTCTGTTCTCCGAGATCTTTTGAACCTGGTCCCACGACAGCCCAGAAGCTCTCATTTCCTCCTCGCACGACCTCCTCCATGTCACCCTCAGCTGGGACGCCCAACTCGTCGCTTCCCCTGCGGATTCCACTCGAGCAACTGGCCTGACGCGTGATGTCCTCAGTCGGCCTTCTCAGTGCATGGCCAATCCATCTCCACTTCTTCCTGCATATTTGTTGCGTGATAGGTTCTTGGTTGGTTCGTTCCCAGAGTTCCTTGTTGCTTATTCTTCTTATTCTGGCCATCTGATCTTCAGTATCGAGACAGCGTAAGCAGTTGTTGATGAATGTCTGTAGTTTATTGGAAATCCCTTTCGTGACGCGCCAAGTCTCTGAGCCATACAAGAGCACTGACTTGACGTTGGTGTTGAAAATCTGCATCTTGTTCCACATGCTGAGTGCAGAAGATCTCCACACTGGTTTCAGGCTAATGAACGCCTGTCTTGCTTTTCCGATTCTGACTTTGACGTCCTCGTCCGTCCCGCCTGTAGTTGAAACAGTGCTTCCTAGATAAGTGAAGGAGGTTACTTCCTTCAAGTTTCTCCCGTTGATGGTGATTGGAGTTTGTTGTTGTTGTTGGTGGTGGTGGTGCGGTATCTTCATCACCTCTGTCTTCTCTATATTCACTTGAATTCCCGTCTTCGATGCCATGCCTCTTCTGTCAACTTGTTAGTTTTCGCCTGTAGATCTTCAAGTTTGTGTGACATCAGACACAAGTCATCGGCGAAATCCAAGTCTTCTAGGTTATTTTCCGCAGTCCAGCGTATCACCCTCTTCTCACAGCTCCCCACTGTTTGCTGCATGATCCAGTCCACCACAATCAAGAATATCATGGGGGATAGTAGGCAACCTTGTTTCACTCCTGTCTTCACTTCAAAGGCAT